GGGGCTCCAGTGCTCACCTCTGCTCTCTGTCCTGAGTGTGGGTGGAAGTGAGACCTGGAGGGTATTTTGACATAGATCAGATCACAAGGTGGATCTAACAACCAATTTCTATTACCCTCACAGACACTAAATATCTGTTATCTAAACTTGTCATGGGGCATATTCCTCGTTAGAATGATTCATGCCTGAATGTTAAGAGATGACACCTTCAATTGTATTCTCAGTAAAGGAGACTAAAATATTTTCTATATAAATCTTTTGTATATTTTTAAAACTTTACTAAACATGCAATACATCTAAGGTATATATCAAGTACAACTCAAAATAGTCACAAGAATAAACTATGTGCATATAGTAGCATATATTGTACTCACATATGTATATAAGTTGGATTTTAAAATATTTTCCAAGCGTGTCTGTCTCTCTAGCATATAGGAGCAACAAAAATTTTCAATAGTATTAGTGTCTGAATAGACTCCTAATACAATAACAGTAGAAATAACTGAATGTGTCAAGAAGGCTGATTCATAGATTTCTATAACAATTTTAGGGTCAGGTTCACCTGGAATATTGAATTCTAACCATTAAATTTACATATGATCATTTTGGATGTTAGAGAATTGGTTTGGTAGAAGTAAATATAAATATCAAAATTTATTAACCAGGAGGGTACCTTCTAAAATTATATAAATTAAAAGGTTTAAAACATATCACCATAGAACATCAATACCATAAAGAAAATTACCTATAGTATTTCTTTACAGCTCTAATGATGGCAAAGGACAGTCAGGTTGGATGCTGTTGCCTTGCCAATCAGATAATTGAAACCAAACAGCAAGCTTGCTCCTTAAACTATGAAATAGATAAGCTAATAGAATGCCATAGCTATGTTCAAATTATCTGGAGTAGAAGTTGTTGAAGCCATACACAGGAAGGAATTGAATAATTCTGACGAACTGCTGATGGCTACATATAAAATCCTATCAGAGCAAGAAACTCCTGAGGGCAGATGACACCTAATGACTGTTCTCTCTCATTTGTTGATTTACTTCTATGAACTACACCAAATTATCTTGGTAAACCAGAAACATTCATAGTTCAAATGGGGTCATGGAGGAGGAAAAATATTTTAAATAATCTCTGTGTATTCTTCATCAAATTAAAAGCCATAATGTTAGGAGAGACTTTGACAGACCTATATCTCACATAGGAGGAAGACATTTCTCCCCATGATGGTCTCTACATTTCCTAGTTCACCTAAGGGTATGAGTGAGATAAGGAACTCATGTAAAGGTCACTGGTAATAGCCAAAGTTACACTAAGTATTTAAAATTTCATTTTAAACGTATAGTTGACTTGGCCCAGTTACCACTATGTTGATAGGGTTCCTTTACAACAATACAATAAATAGAATAATTGAAAGATTCAGATTTCAGATGAGGAAGATTATTTTTGGAAAAGTCCAAGAGAGAAAAATGAATTAATAATGGTAGAAATGGGGCTGGAGTGATGGTTCAGAGGTTAAGAGCACCCAGCTGTTCTTCCAGAGGTCCTGAGTTCAATTCCCAGCAACCACATTGTGACTCAAATCCGTCTGTAATGAGATCTGGCACTGTCTTCTGGCCTTCAGTTGGAACGCTGCATACATAAAAAATAAATCTTTAAAAAAATAATGATAGAAGAATAAAAAGTATATGGACAGCTATAGTCAAAGTAGACACAATTTGACTCCATGGATAAAGATGAAGTGTATAGTGCTAAGTGAAAGAACCCAGTCTGAAAACAGTGCATGCTGTATAATTTTCCATGAGATTCTAGAAAAGGCAGTTTAAAAAAAGAAAGAAAAATGTGCATGTTCAAAGTTTCTTGGGAGAGGAGAAGCTCAATTCCCCAGTCCCTTCAGTGTGAGCCATGTACAGTGACAGCCGTACAGACAGCATGGCATGGAAATACTGTAATTTCATAGGGGAGAATTTGAAGAAACACTATCAAGTTCAGGTGCTTACGATCAGTAGTGCCAGGCATATCGACAGCATAAATGCAGTTAATATATTAAGGACAAACCATTTCATGCTTGTGGCCTTTCTTCCAAAACCACATATCTCAGGGAAATTATGAAATAAATCAAAATCATCAAAACAGTAATTGAAAGAGTTTCTTTCAAACCATTTGTGCTGGGATCGTCAAAATTCTCAGAATCATGAAAAACAAGGATGAAAGTAGCCAACAGAGACAGGAAAGAGTAAATAACTGAGTGGAACTTGGTGTCCTGTGACTTCGGACCTCAAACCAGGCATTGTGTAAAATTTAACGAAATCTGAAAATGTTTTCCTTGTAGTATTGCTGTTTAATTATGCCAAAAAAGATAACTACGAGGTATGAGAACTCTGTATGAATATAAGCCTAAACATAGTTTAAACAAAATTCTTTAATAGTCATAGAAATTCATTTTCATATAATCATGCCTCTCCAGGTGGTTTAAAGTGTATCTTCTATGACATACAGGCATGAAGTGTCTCACAACAATATAGTGTGTGTGTGTGTGTGTGAGAGAGAGAGAGAGAGAGAGAGAGAGAGACAGAGAGACAGAGAGAGAGACAGAGAGAGAGAGAGAGTACTCTATGTAGTGTTCTCTTTCAGAACTGTCCAATTCAAATGATCACTAAATAATTAAATCTGGAAGAATTTTCAGACTTCTTTTTCTTGTGCCAAAATCAATATGCCAGAAAAAATTATCCATTTCAAAGGGAAGTGGCTACCCAGATTGTTAAATAAAGACCAGGTTTTCTGAGAAATAGAGAGCAAACAAGATGGAAAACAAAATATTAGATGAAAACTAGATGCAATAGCTGCTTCAGAAGGTTTAAGAAATATCTAGATATTCAGGGTCTGTTCTCAGTCTCTCATAGTCAGCTTGGACTGTCAACTCGGCAAAGCCCAGAGTTATTGGAGGGAGACTCAGTGGGGAGATTGCTTTGGTTAAATTGGCCTGTGGACATGCGGGGCATTTTTTCCTGGTTGTTAACATAGAAGGACACAGCCCACTGTGGGCGGACCGACCACTGGGCAGGTGAGCCTGTACCTTGTAAGAAAGGTGCCTGGTTGAAGGGACTCTGACCAGCTCTGGCAGGTCCCTTCTTATGAATCCCCACTCCCATCCCTATTCCCCTATTTGGCTACTTCCTCCTCCTCAGGCTGACTTCCAAGGTTCAAAAAACAAAGTACTAAAATTCAGTAATCAAAAGCCCCCTTTGGCTTACCTAATCAACATTCCCAATTAAAATGAAACACCTTGTCCTAATACAGGGTTTCCCCTTCACCTTTATAAACCACCATTTGCCTTTGGGTTCCATTGTCTCCTCTCTATCCAGAGACAGTCCTTTGTCTTCCCATCCTGGCCCCAGGAAACGCCCCTTCCCCATCTCCCTTGTTCCTTTATCCCTAGTTCTCTATCTCCTGTCTTTGCCTTTTATTCCCTACCCCTGTCCCCACTGGGGCTAAATAATCTCCTCTGTGCTGAGAACTTGGTCTTGGGGATCCTGAGCCTGTACTTTTCCTTTCCCTGGCCATAAGATGGGGAACAAGCCAGTAAGCAGCTATACTGCGTGGCTTTGGCTTCAGATGCTTCCTTTGAGTTCCAGCTTTAGTTTCCTCAATGATGGGCTACAACCTGTGAACTAAGATGAACCCTTCCCTTTACTAGTCGATTTTGGTCAGTGTTTTATCACAGAAGCAGAGGGCAGAATACTGTCCTTCCAGCTTGCCGAAAGAGAAATCGAATTGGAGTATCAGGTATAGATGTTTCTAGGCATGTGAATGACAGCAGAAAAGCTTCACACCCTTTGGAATGAAAATTGACTTTCCTTTAAATTTACTCTTTCTTGCAAAATAAGCACTCCTCAGAAGTACTTGGGTGTAAGTTTTGCAGGACACAAAAGAATATAATTTGTAGGTCTTTGCATAGTCAAAAACAGCTATAAATTTGAGAAGATGTGTTTTTGCCCTCGATAGAATATTTTCATCTAGTACACTGATATAACGTTCATTGTACTAAATATTTAATGTCTTACATTATCTTGTTCAATTACCAAATAATCTGCCTCAGTTTTGTTTCTGTTGCTGCTACAAAATCTCCCAATCAAAGCAACTCAAGGGGGAGGAGGAGGGTCGGGGGTTAACTCATAGCACCAAGATACAACCCATTGTTGTGGGAAAACCATACCTGTAGGAGCTTGAGAGAACTGTTCACATTATCATCATCAGTAAGTACAGATGAATGAATTATTGCATGTACACTTGCCATCTTAGCTATGGTTTCTATTGCTGTGGAGAGACACGATGACCACGGCAACTCTTATAAAGGAAAACATTTAATGAGTTGGCTTACAGTTATAGAGGTTTTAATCCATTATCATCAAGGTGGCAGGACATGGTGGCATGAAGGCAAACATTGTGCTGAAGAAGAAGCTGAGAGTCCTACATCTTCATCTGCAGGCCACAGGAAGTGAACTGGGATACTGGACATGGCTTAAGCATATATGAAACCTCCAAGTCTACCCCCTACAGTGACATGCTTCCTAATAATGCCACTCCCTATGTGCCTATGGACACAATTACATTCAAACTCCCACACTTGCACTCAGCTAGATTTCCTTACTCAGACACAGTTAAGGGTCCCCTGTCTAGGAAATGGTATGAGTCTTCCCAATTAAATAAATATAATCAAGACAACACCCCCATAGACATAGCCACAAGTAAAGCTGATCTACACAAACCCTTTTTTAGATTACTTCAGCAGGTACTTCCAAAGTATGTCAAGTTGACAATTAAGATTAATCATTATATTGCATACACTATGAGTAGGCATTTCCACAGCTTTAGAAAAGCAGGCAAATATTTGAGAGTGTTTTCTGTACTCCGGTGTTAGTTGCCTGGAATGTTGCATGTTGCACCATTACTATAAACTGATGCTCAGAGCCATGTCTTTTTTTTTTCTTTAGGGAACTTTCTGTTCTTCACAGGATCCAAGGTCAATTCTCTGTAGCCACATTATGTAGTTTACAACTACTTGTAACTCCAATTCCAAGGTATTTGATGCTATTTTCTATCCTCTATGGTGCTCACACACAGTTTACATTCACTCACACAGAAAAATACACATATACATACACTTCATTTTTCATGGTGAAAACACTGCTTATAACAAACTTCCTCAACTATCATTGCTCTAAATTTGCGTCATTTTTTTCTGCTCATTCAGACCCACTTCTTAACATGGCCTTTTACTCATAAGTAAACAAGACTACACACTCAGGATACTCATATATCAGTAGGGTTATATTGCAAATATTTTCTCAAGCTCCAAAAGTGCATAGTTATTGAGCTTTGCTAATGCCTTAGAATACCAGTTTTTAACTTCTGTACTGAGACTAGGCAACAACACTAGGAGAATTTTGTCAACAAAAATGCTGTTTTCCAATTTGGGCAATGTAAATTTCTGTTAAAGATCTATAATGCTATAAGTTATACTGTGCATGAGTTTGTTTTTCTTTTGCTCTGAGAAAATTGTAACCAAAAAGCAAATTGGGCAATAAAGGCTTTATTTGGCTTGTAGGGTAAAATTGTCATCAAGGGAAGCCAGGTCAATACCTTACCTCACAGCGGGAATTTGGGGCCAAAAAATGAGGTAGAATTATGGAAGAGCACTTTTTCTGACTTGCTCAGCTCCCCTTCTTCTATTGTCCACCCACCTGTAAACGATGGAGGCACCTAGAGTCGGCTGGCCCCTCATATGTCAATTGTTAATCAAGAAAACGCCTCACAGACATTGCAGCAGGCCAATCTCATAACAATAGTTTCTCCTATTCCAGATGAATCTGGGTTTACATCAAATTGACAGTTAAAGCTAGTATGATGTATATGGCTATAACTTTTACTCACGGTTTTATTTTCTTACTTTTACTCAAATGGCTTTATTTTCTTACTAATAATGATCTCTTACTTGTATTTGATATGTATTGAGAACTCACAAAGTTTTTGTTAAGAAAAATCCCAAGTTAAAATATAGGACTAGTTCAGCAGATACATTGCTAAAGAATAAACATAAATATCAAATACATATATGAAAGACATTCATCCTTCATTTGTGAAATGCAACTTAAATCAAACTAGAAATATACTTTAACAATTTCTAAGTTTTGAGAATCTCATTAGTGTTATATTTGCATCATTCCTCCCTCCTGTGCCCCCTCCTTATTAAATTCATTATCTTTTCCCTTATCACTGTTTCATATATAATTATATGTCAGTATATATATATATACATGTATATATTAATCTGCTGAATCCATTTCATGATTCATACACACATTTATTGATGACTACAGAGTATTGGATAACCTGTAAGAGAGTTCATCATTGAAGAAAACTGATTCTCTTACTCTCAGAAGTCATTAACTAGCCTATAACTCTTCACCTAGGGGCGGCTTCTTCTGTGATGTACCCAACCCACATTGGCATGTCAACTGGTATTGCTTATTTAGGGACCACACTGTTGACATTTCCTAGGTGTGGCTTTCTTGTCTTATATAAGAAACACAAACTCAATGCCAGTTTCCTGATCATGTATCTCTTCTGGTCTTTACTATTCTATGTTACTTGAAACTTAGGTGTAAAACTTTGTTGTACATGTGCTCACTGAGACCAAGAACACCACATTCAGATATTCTTTGGATTTTGGCCAATTGTGGATTTCTGTAATGGCATCTTTGATGAGGTAGGAGAGCTAACTTACCAAGCAGGACCAGCACAGTAGATCCAAACCTAGAAAGCTTTTTCTCTTGGTCACTTCTTTTTATCATCATTATCATCATAATCATCATCATCATCATCCTTCTCTCATGCAATACATGCTAAACAACCACAGCCTTCTCTCCCTCCACTCCTACCAGTTCCCCATTACCTCCCCTCTTCCTCAGATCCACCGATCCTTAATATCCCTTCAGAAAAGAGCAGGCATCCCAGTGATATCAACCAAACATGGCATAACAAGATGCAATAAAACAATAAGACTAGCCACAAAGTCTCATATCAAGGCTGGAGCAGGCAAAAAGGAAGAGTACCAAGAGCAGGCAAAAAAGTCCTGGGGTACTACTTCTCTCAGTGTTAGAAATCTTAACATCTTAATAAACTTTTTAGAACTGCTAAAACACACACACACACACACACACACACACACACACACACGACACTAATCCTATTAAGATTGTGGAGAAGCAGAAACATTCATTTTTGGGAGGATGCAAAATACATAGACCTATTGAAGATGGAGCAAACGGGAAAAAAATGAAATTTTAATAGTTTGCTTCTGAGAGTCAATAATTCCTGATGTCTTTGTCTTTAGTTTTGGTGCCTCTCAGTATTTTTTGTTGTTTGTTTAAAAATAACGTTTCTAGAATAATCGGTCAGTGCAACCATAACCTAATCACTTGATGTGTCTGACAAATGTCAGGTTAATGTAGATATTGCCCAATATAGTGAAGTATTTTCCCTATGGGTCTGTTTGCTGTGTTAGCACTTAAAAGTAACTTGTATTCCCCTGAACTGATATAAAATAAGAATTAATAGAATATATCTAGGTTAACAGCTGAAATTATTTTTTATTTTCTAATTTTTGGAGATATTATTGACATCTCTCTCTTCCTTTTTCTCCTTCCAAACCCTTCTATATACCCATTCTGGCTCTTTTTCAAATTCATGTCTTCAAATTCATGTCTTGAAATTCATGTGTTCTTCTTTTATTAATTGTTATTACAAGCCTAAATATATATGTGTATGCACATAATTTCTAACTATAACTTGCTCAGTTATAGTTATAATGATACTTTTATACATGTTTTCAGGGCTGACCATTTGAAATTATTCTTAAAAACAAAATCAGTGCCCTAAAACCTCACTTCTAAAGCTTTTAATATCCCTTTACATTTTTTGTGTGTTTTGAATGAAGACCTAAGAAAAAGATATACTGACCAACAGAATAGAGCAAAGGGCTCATTTTATATGTGTGGTTAATCACATTTATGATGAGTGTATTTTGATAACTTTTATAATATGAGATTGAAATTGATCAACATGAATAATTAATTATTTTCAGGATAGAAAGTTAATGCACAAATCTCAGTAACTTTCTATTCACTACAACAAACTATTTATGGAAGAAATCAGGAAAATAATTTGATTCACAATGTCTACAAAATAAAATAAACATAAGTTTAGGTATTGGCCTTGTGTTCAGATTACTAATTGCTGTGCATATAGTGGTAGTAGTGATGGAAACACGTAAAAGGTAAATAAAGATTGTGTGTTAATCTTAGACGTTTTGCTGGGGATGACCCATGCTTTAATTTTCATTTCTCATAAGACATTAAAAAGCAAAACAAAACAATAACAATAACAACAACAAAAAGAAACACTGTTTCATGGAGATCTTAAGTATTTAGCCTAATATATCATATTCTACAACATACACTTACCATATTACTGATTCACCATAAAAGTTGAGTTTTTTATACTAATTAAGAAAATTTTATAAGAGAAAACTCCAGGAAATTAATTTTACGCATCTTAGATGTCATTATTCCATATACCACATACTTTGCAATCAGTATAGCCAAAAATAAAGCAGTTATCAATGTTTGAATACCTGCTAAATGATTTTCTCCTTTCTTTACATGAACATAAATATGCAAACAATATTAAGATTGTATATCACATGTCAACAATAATGACATATTTAAGGATACTTAAAAGATAACAGTGGCTTCCTACATGATAGTGGATTTAACAGTAATTTAACTTCATGATTCGGAGAAGGACATTTTTCTTCTGAAAAAAATAACGTTCATTTCTGTTACATTTGTTTCACCTGTGTCATGAATATGTTTTGATAATAAATTGGTAACATCTGTTAGGTACCCGTATCACAGTGAACATGATGCTCATTTTTTCAAAGCAAGTGACACCTATTATTACACTAGTTTCCTTTACCTTTACCCATTCTCCTTCTGCCTTTTAAAATGAATTGTCTGCACATTTCCCTTCTTTTCCTTTTTCCATCTTCTCCCCATCCATCCCTTACTTCTTCCTTCTTTTCTACACTCTTCCATCCCCACATCATTTTCTTTCACATTTTACTTCCAGGAATTGAACTCGGGATTACAATGCTAAACACTACATGCAAGGTTCCAACCCCTCTATTTATCAAGTTGCCTTTGATGGCTATGTCTGCATTAAGACACATAGTCAGGCTGAAGAGATGGCTCAGCCATTAAAGGCTGGGCTCACGACCAAAAATATAAGACATATACTCATATCCCCTTAAGCTTAAAATTTTGGAGAAAAAGCGTTAACTAACCTAGTTATTCAAATACGTGTCTTGTAGATAAACAGAAACAGCCCTAAAAATCCTATTCTGTGTTGTCTCCTGCTCTGAGTGATTAAAAAAGAGGATTTGGGGAGCTATTAAGTTTCACTCAGGTTCTCAGGATTCTAAACAGAGTCCTTATGTACTAGGTCAAGTGTCGTTAACCTGTTATCACAGGCAAATGAGATTTCCTGTTCTTTAGATTGCAACCCATAAACTTGTCATAATCATAGAAAGTACTGAGTCACAATAATGGCAAGTCTATTGTTGTGGAGCAGAACTGTGTCCTTCTGAATTCGTAAGTTAACGCCGTACTGACCAATATGATGAGCATTGGTAAGGAACTATGTTTAAAAAGAGATCTTGTTGGAGGGACTCTCATGATTACTGTCCATTATGAAGAGCTACTAAGGAGTTTGTTTTGATTCTTTCTCCTTCATATTTTCTCTTCTATTTCCCTACTCTTCCTCCTTCCCTTATTTCCATTCTCCTTTGCAGCTCTGTGTCATATGAGGATACAGGTCAAGGTGGCTTCTCCTACCAGGAAGAGTACTGTCATCAGAGCCCAAGTGCATTGGCACCCTTGCCTTAGAATCTCCAGTTTCTCTAACCTTAAAAAGCAAAGTTTTTCAGCTTAAGTAACCTACTCTATGACATTTTTGTCAG